GTTTTTTTAAAAAACGTAAAATAAAACAATATTTTTTTTTTTATTTCTTTGCACCCACGGCATGCCGCTGCCGCTGCTGCTGCCGCTGCTGCTGCTGCTTCCCCTGTTGTTGTTTATTTTATTTTATTTTATTTTTCTCCTTCTTGTTGTTGTCCTCATCCCCCCCTGTTATCTTTTTTTTTTTTTTGTGTGCATGCGTGCATGTGGCCTTCACGACTGCAGCTTCTTTTCTTTTCTTCTTTTCTCTTCACACACAAACACACCGCTGCTTCCCCTGTTGTGTTGGTGGTCAGAGCGAGCGGAGCAAACGGCACGAAGTCAAAAAAACAACAAAAAAAACAGAAGTTTCAATAAAAGAACACCCCCCCCCCACCCCCACCCCACCCCGCCTTTACAAAAAGGAAGAAAAGGAAACAACAACAACAACAAAAAGGACCGATTTATATCCAATTCAATTCAATTCGATTCAACACATCCATTTGCCAATCGACTTTTTTTGTTTCTCTCCGTGAGTCAGTGAGTGGGTGTTTGTTTGTCAGCAAACATGGACGTGGCGTTTGATTTATATACGGCGGTTATTCCTGTAGATCGTAACGCGTTATCCCATCAATTATTTGTTTTTTGGTTAATCCTCACTACAGGCGGTATATTTCTATACCTTTTATGCGCATCTATTTCAACGTTTATCTTTTTTGTGTTATTTGAGGAAACCTATTTTCCTCTCACGATGGATAAAAAAAATCAAAAACATGAATTACAACGACAAATGTTACATGAGATATTTATTGCGGTTCTTTCTATTCCTTTTATGGCAATACTTATGGCCCCTTCTTCTACCCTTGCCCACCGTGGGTACAGTAAAATATATTACAATGTTTCCGATTATGGATGGTCATATCTTTTTTTTAGTATATTGATGTTTTTTATTTTTACGGATTTTATGGTGTATTGGTTTCATCGTGGTTTACATCATCCAACATTATACCGATATCTTCATAAATTACATCATACATACAAATATACCACACCATTTTCATCGCATGCATTTAATCCTTGTGATGGATTTGGTCAAGGTTCACCATATTACGCATTTATTTTTTTATTTCCGATGCATAATTATCTTTTTGTGATTCTCTTTTTTGCCGTTAATTTATGGACCATCTCTATTCATGATCAGGTGGATTTTGGAGGGCATTTTGTCAACACAACCGGACATCATACAATTCATCATGTACTTTTTAATTACGACTATGGACAGTACTTTACCGTATGGGATCGTATTGGTGGAACATATAAACCGGCACAACAGACACATCATTTCCCATTATTTACAAAAGGTGGACGCAATGAAGAGGTTGAGTCAACGAAGAAGATGGGATAGAAGAATGAAATATAAAATATAAAATATAAAAGAAAAAAAAGAAAAGAAAAAAAAAAAAGAAAAAGGAGGTTACGGTGCAGATATATAAATATAAATATAAATATATATGTGATGCATGCATGCATATATACACATATATTTTGGATTATGTGCAAGGAGGTGGACAGGCGGCTTATGTATCTACCCCTATCTATCTACCTCTATCTATCCACCTCTATATATCTACCTCTATCTATATATCTATATGAGAAATTATTATCATTGTTATTGTGGACGAGGAAGCAGAGGAGAATGGGCCGCGGAAGATGACTAGGAAGAAGAAGAAAAAGAAAAAGAAAAATAAATAAATAAATAAAACGTTTCTTTCGGCTTGAAATGATGGGGCGGGATTACAAAGAAAACAACAACAAAAGAAGCAACAAAGATTGGGAGTGAGGGGGGGTGGGCGGGGGAAATAGAGTAATAAACAAATATTTAAAGAGGGAAATACAAAAGAGTTCACGAGAAAAGCGACGTCCGGCAGGAAGAGTCCATCAACGGACTCATTTGGGGTTCCTGGCCGAGGACGCACTCCCCCTCCCCCTCCCTCTCCTTCATTGAATTCATGAGGCGCTTCGACGACGTGCACCGGGCAGGAGGCCTGCTGCAACTTGGGATTGCCACCTCGTTCTGAGAGGGGAGGGTGCGAGGCTCTGAATTTCGTTTTTTTTTTTTTCTCTCTCACACACACACTTTCTCTGTTGTTTTGACGCATGTGTGGACGACAAGCGGCAGTAAATGAGTCGAGGGGCAATGCATGCATGCATCAATGAATGAATGAATGAATGAATGACATTCACAGCGATGTGCCGAGTTCCGACCGTAATTCTTTTCGTACATATTCACCCCTCCTTTCCCTCCACTTTGTTTTTTTTGTGTATTTCTTTGGAAAGGGAAGGAGGGAGGGGGGCGGCAACACCGCGCACGTAAAGAAAGAGGGCAAATGAAGAAGAAAAGACTAATAAATAAATACAAAAAGAAAAAAAAAAAGGAAATTGCGACAATTACGTGTTTCTTTGAATGTGTGAGTGAACAGGAGACAAATTTGGGTCTTTCCTCTCTCCTTTTGCCTTGCGCCTTTAAAAGACAGAGGGAGAGGGAAAAACAAAAGACGAGATGCAAACTTGCGGGAAACGATAGAACATGCAGAAGGCACGACACGGTGGGTGAACGATAATAAACAAAAAAATTCGAAGAAAAGCTTTTTTTTTTTTTTTTCTTTTTTTAAAAAAGTTTCATTATTTTTCTCTGTTGAATTGTTTTTATTAGTGGATGGAGCGGTATATGTAGATATACATTTCCGTTTGTTCCATTTTTTTTTATTTTTGATTTGTTGTTGTTGTTGTTTTCATTGTTTTCCGTCCGCAATGCCGCTCACATGTTGTAAGCCCTTTTTGTATTTAATTATTTTGCATTTAAAAAAAAAAAAAGAAGGAAAAGACGGAACGTGTGAATTTATATTCCACGTCACGTGTGAGAAGGCAGCAGGGGTGGTGGTGGTGGTCCTTTCGGTCTGTTTCGCCCTGACGCACCCCCACATTCCACCCACTGGGATCGCCGCTGCCGCTGCCGCTGTCCGTCACGCGGAGGTGAGGGGGCCCCTTAAAAAAAAAAAAAAGAAAGAGAGACTGCCACCTTATCACTTCCCAAGGAACCTTTTGGTTCTGGCCACATGTTGTATGGATTTTCCTTATTGTATATATATATATACAATAAAATATGGATGTATATTCATGAGCATGAACGCCAAAGGAATATTTGTTTTATTACTACTGTTTATTAACACTATTTATTATCAAAAAAAAAAATCATTGTTTTTATTATTACTATTAACATTTTTATAAATTTTGTGGGACGTTGGGAACAATGAGGTCCTCCCCTCCCACATTTAGCTTTATCATCACCACAGTACAATTTTTTGTTTATGGAAATAGGGGAGACAAGGGCTCATTCAGGCGCGATATGAACCTCCATCCTTTTGTGAATTGGGTGAGCAGTGCACATTTTGTGGTGTTGATATTTTATCATGTTCTCTTTTTGAACGCACGGAACACTTTTTTTTTTTTTTTTTTGAATTTCTACGTATTTTATTTTTGGTTTTTCTTTTTTCCCCCCTTTCCATTATCATTCTTTGCCACTGGTCCATTGTTGGCTGCTGCGACGTATCGGTGCGTCAGTCTGCCTGTGTCTTCCACCGGAGAGAGGGATGGGAAGATTTGTGTGTATTTATGTGTGCGTGTGCGTGTGTGGAATAATTGCTGTAAGCGTTTTTTTATTTTTTTTGTCTTTCTGCGCGGTTGTTGTTTTGTGTGAAGGCTGAGGAAAAGCTTCAAAGAGCAGAGGAATAGGGAGGGACGCAAGCAAACACACATCCATACCTACACACAGGCAGACAAACGGGTAGTGCGTGGGTGCGACGTTGTGTGGGTGGCTGCGTACATTATTAGATACACGCCCCACACTCACGAAGGGGGCTGGTGGGCACACAACGGGGGAAAGGCAAAGGATCTGTCAGCCGGTCAGTGGCGGGTCGTGCCGTTTCACCGCAAGGTGCTCTTTTTGAGGGAAGAGAAGAACAGGAGGTGGGGGCTCGGGGCAGGGAAGTTACGTTGAAGAGATCCACCCGCGAGAGGGTAAAAGGACAGAGAGACTCGAAGGCAGCGAGGAAAGATACAGGTAAGGCGGGAAGGGCAGTGAGTGCAAATGGCATCTCGCGTGAAGTTCGATTTGGGGGACGAGGGCGTGCCTTTGGAGAGTCACCCTGAGTGCACCGCGTGGGTTTTGCAGCGAATAAAAGAGGAGCTATGCTACGACGTGGACGGTGTCACGGACAAACAACTCCGTCTCATCAATGAATTTCTTGTCGGGGATGAGGAGCTCCGCGCAGTTTTTTGCTTTTATCAAGGTGCCGTGGTGGAGTCTGTGGAGGAAGACGATGGGGAACTCAGTCGAGAGAACTCCAAAGACGAGGAGTTGACAGCAGAGTTGTGCGTGGTGGACACACCTCAGGGCTTGTCAGAACGTATTGTGGTAGAAGGTATGTGCACGGATGTGCTTTTCTTTGTGCGGCTGGACCCCGACCGTCTAATTGTACCAGAAAACGTTGACAATGCCGTCGCGTGGGGCAGTTGCCGCGGTGGAAATCTGCTGGAATCCCTCTTGCGCACGCTGCAGTTTGTTCTCACACCCGTACTGCTTCAGAACCGGTGGCCAGATAGCATCGAGAAGGATGTACACTCCGCGTTGCACCGCTTCATGGCCGCCATGACAGAAAACATCAACCGACTACGAGGTCGTACGGTTTTGTACGTCCCCAGTGATCTTGCAACAGGTATAGGAGTGGAGGAAGCCCATATTGACCGCGAAATTGTCCAGCGCTTTGAGGCCACCGCGATTCATTGGACGCGGCAGATCAAGGAGGTCGTTGGAGACAAAGATGTGGGCCTCAGCGGCGAAGCCGCAGGACCATTGGAGGAGATCGCATATTGGCGCTCCCGTGCACGTGACTTGGGAAACATCCGTGCCCAGCTGAATCGTCCAGATGTTGCCGGTATTGTGCAGGTGCTGAGGGAGGCAAAGTCTTTCTACTACTTGGAGCCTTTTTTGAATCTACGGGCCGATATTGAAAAGGGCACAGAGGAGGCTTTTGACAATCTGCGCTTTTTGAACACGCTGTTGGAGCCGTGTACGAGGCTTTCAAAGGCCAGCCCAAAGGAGATTCCGGCGTTGATTCCTGATGTACTTGTTCACGCGCAGCTCATCCTGATTTACTCCCAGAGCTACAAGAAGGATCGCTTTTTTCCGCCTCCTCCGTATGATATCTAATGAGATCATCTTTCGATGCAGTCAAAAGATTGACGTCCCGGCTATCCTTTCCGGTGACGTCACTAACAGCATGGTGGCACTGCAGGACAGCGTCAC